AAGTATGGGATGATAAGGATCAAACTCGTAACATCGTGGTCACTAAAGCTCTGATGTCATGTAAATAACTAATTTAACCTAAAAGCTGAAACTAATGGGTAAAAGCCATTTTCATGGTTAGAACATTTTTAATAATTTATATTATTTTCTAATAAATTTGCCCAAGTAAATAGCTGTTAGGGGGTGTTTGCCCAAGTATATATATACCTTATGTAATTTGGGACGATCAATAAAAAAGACCCATGCTACACCAGTACGTCCTTAATTTATATATATTACGTACGTACCAATTGATGCAGCTGAAAATCCCCATACAAACTTGTTCAAATATACCTAAACCTCAAAAGCCTTCTTTCCAATTAGACTCTTTCCATTAATCTGCTAAGTCTTTTATTTACATTTTCTCTCTCACACAAACGCACGTTTTTGGCATCGACTACTCACTAGCTAGGAACTGGGTACGATACCAGTAAAATCACCAAGTGAATCTCTGATCATTCTGCTAAAAAGGAAAATAAAAATAAAAATAAAATAGTTCTTATTTTTTAACTTTTTTTCTTCCCTGGCACAGTCTCTGACATCAATGCTGAACATTAAATTGATTGCATGAAAATTCGATGCCACCAACTGTCAGCTACTGACCTAACGTGGACCCTCACACTGCAACTTTTTCATGCAAACAATGTCTCGAGCTACTAAAACATCTTTCTCTCTCTTCTCAGCGTTGCAAACGACGACGCATGGGATAATATATGGGTGAAAACAAGGGCGTCAAAACGGGCCTCAACTCAGTGGTCGTTTTCAACCTTCTCAATACGGCTTAGTAGGGGGGGGGGCAGGGGCCACAGCTTGCAGATCTGACGGCTGACAGAGAAAGACTTCATTCATTCATTCAATTGTCGTCGACGACATTGACGTGACACGTGGGTGAAGATCGTGTACCGAGGATTGAATCATAGCGTAATGATGAATAAATAATTTGTAGTATGTGTGTTTGTGTGTGTGTGTGTGTGTGAGATTTATGCATTATGCGTGTGTAGTGTATCTATGTCTGTAAAACACAGTAGTGTGCAGAACTGTGCGTAGACTCTGTTACTTTTTATTTAATTATCACTACAAAAAAATAAAAAATAAAAAATAAAAAATAAAAAAAAAGGTTGAGTAGCTCAAGGCTTTAGAGGGTTGTTCTCTGCAACCTTCTGTTACTTCTACTGTTATTTTCTTGGCTCCTCTGTGTTCTGATAATCTGATATATCAAAAATACGTATTCTTACTACTCTTATGCTATAGATTGACATTGTACAGGTTCCTGCATTCTGTACCTATTTTTTCGAACCAAATTTATTGATTAATGAATGTGTTTTCAGTTTGAGCTTCAAGCTGGGTTTTAACTTTTTATAAATAAATTAATATAATTAAGTGGAAGGTACAGATCCAAAGGGGAGAGGGTCCTAGTACACAGAAGTGACGCTGCCAATTGTAACACTTGCATGGCAAGTTTTTTCAAAAGTGAAAAAGTGAAACTCATGAAAATGAGACAACGTCAAAAAAGAAATCAAAACAAAATGTTCCCAACTTTTTTTTTTTTTTTTCCTTTTTACTTTTGGGTTTAGGATGAGGTATATATTGCTTTACACTGTAGCCAGGTTTAGTTTTATATGCGTATGTACCACGTCATGATTAGCTTTGTTAATTAATTTAACTTATAATTACTGAGGCCAACTTTTAATTCCAATTGAATGTAGACCGGATATAGAAACTTCAACGTGATCAATAATTATTTAACAAATTATTAAAGTGCTAATGTACCAAAACCAAATGATGTGTAGCTTTGTTGTAAAGAAGTGGGAAAACATGAAAGAAATATATATATGTGTTGATTATTATTAACGTGAGTCCATCTCTGACGTCCATGGACAATTAGAGTCGATTCACTTTCTTTTATGTAAATAAATATAATTCATTGAAAATTATATGCCTAATAATAGAGGCCTTAAATCATGACCTGTGGGACTTGCGTGTAGAGATTAAAGTTTGGAATCTAATAATTAAGGTACAAAAACAATCTGATTGAATACGCTACTGCTTAATTGGTACGAAAGTTAATTAGGTTGGAAGTGTTTGGCGTGCTCGTGTCAAATCTATTAGGAAAAGCGTCCTTAAAATTAGCATTTGTTCCTTGTACTAAAAAAGAGGAAATGTGCTTTCTAGGTCAGATTTTTACCATCCGTGTATATATATATATATATATATATATATATATATATATGACTATGAATAATCCTCTATTCTAATGTGGAGTACCAATTTAAACAAAAAGTTGGAGAAATTATTAACTTGAAGCAAATAATGCAAAAGCTCCAAAAGTTAAAGTACGTACTTGCAGTTTGCCCAGAAAAAAAAAGTGCGTACTTGCATGTCACATTATTAGAACTTCCACAATTCAAATTCCAAAATAAATCAGTTCGGTAATTGTTTCCACTTTTCAATATTGGTGAGATGATTGCTAAATCAAAGACATAGATGACATGCAACAATTAAGCAACAATAATTTTTGTAGTTATATACATACATGTGCATATACAGTAAACTTAATGACGGAAAGAAGAATTATAGTGTCAAAATCAAATTCTTACTACAAGTATCTACTTATAAAGGAACAATTTATTAGAGCAATTTGCTGCAAATGCAAAAGTGATTAAAGACATGAAAAATTGCAAGGCTGTTGGATGAACGATAGATTAATGTCAAATATAAGAACTCTAAATTTATGTAAATGAATTAATACTTACGAATCCGGCATCAATTAAAGCCTCCATGATTATTTCAACATAAACTAAATTTTATGACTCAGCTATTTGTTGGGTAGCAATGTGGATCAACTATAGTGTAATTATAGTGTAATTATATTGTACTATGTGATCTCTTTTTGTTTTCTATTGTTGGGAAAATTATTGTGTCCCACTGGGTTATCTGAAACACTGATCGATGACTCCATGCATTCGTGCAAAATCAAAAGGAAAGCAAATAAAGTTGAAAGAAAAACTAAAGCTAATTAAAGCACACCCCTTTTCCTTTCTCCTCATAAATTTTAACACCATCTCCTTTTGCTTCTTTTAATCAGCCCTCTTTTTACTCCCCACATGCTCAAAGCCTCGTCTAACACCCAGCAATCAGTACTTTCAAATCCAAAGCCAATTTTTTCTTTTTCTTCATTATATCCCCCTACTTTTGTGCCTCAATTTAATATGTCCATGATTTCTTTTTGAAGAGGTTCTTAATTGACTCCTAAAAGGAAATTGGATATGACTTGCGAGTTCTCTATACCAGTACTGCACATTTTTTAAAACATTATATTTTCTGGGTGGCCAAGTGATAGCTATACGATATTCATATTATTTTTTTCTGTTTCCATATTTGTCAATTATTATGAAAAAAAATTGGGGCGAGAATTTAGATAAAGTTCAAATATATTTTTATGACCTTGTTCTCCCATATGAGCAAAACATACTATATTTTTACCATTAAAAGACAGAAAGAAACACTAGATCAAATATGTAAAGGAAACGATGGATAGGACTCTGACTTTAGAAAGAATTTATGTTTCACGCTCTCTGCTTTCCATTCAATTTTTTACTTTTCCTTTTGCATCAATTATTTTCCCTCATTGGATTGACTTTTTTTTTTTTCACATTCAATTCATTCTAGGGGAGTTAAACCAACATGGTTCGAGAAGTGTAACATCTTAGAGGCATGCACAATAAACGGTTCATGCCAAATTTGCAGAGCTGGAGATATATGAATGAATCGAATCAACACCTTAAGGTAGTGTTTGCTTCGGAAGAAATTTTTTTTTACTAGGAAAATGTAATTGATAGAGAAATGGTTGGAAAGTGAGTTTGGTAGGAAAATGTAAAAAAAGTTGTTTGGTTGACCGAAATATTACCAGGAAAATTTATTTAAATATGCAAAATCTATGTTCGGGAGAAAATTTGCACCTGTTTTTTCACTTCCCCAGTTATCTCAAAATACCACATCTCAAGTGGTATTCTACAACAGTGAATTTCATCCAAAAATCAACTCAAAAGTCATTTTTCCATCTATCCTATTTGCCTAGTATTTTTTGAAAAAACCTGAACCAAACGTGGTATTTTCTAATATCCACTTACACTTTCTCATCAATCTCAAAATAAACCTTCAACCAAACACTACCTAAAGAAAGAAATTTCAGAGACTGTGCAGTAGGTATGAAACTGTGTAGTTGGAGATAACTTATAAGAATTAATTAGTACTACTTTACTAATAAGATGCATCTACTTTTTGATAGTTTGGAACAGAAGAATTTCATACTTAACTTGAAAAATTTTTGGAATGGGTAAAAGTTTTTCAAAAAAATGTGTGAGAGAAGACAAAACATGTTGAAAGGCCTCGTGCTAGTTTGTGAAGAAGTCATTAGTCCTTAAATCCGCCGGGCATTAAAAGAAGAGTCACAGAATTGTTACTGAAAATTCGAGTCCGTTACTTTTGACGTGAAATATATGGTCCAATATAATTATGTGTGTATAATTGCTGAATCCATCCATGGTCTGAATATGTCATCGTATTTACCCTTTATACCATTACAATATACATTTGCAATCAGTAGTTTCAGGCTTTAAGAAATGGGAAAAATGGGAAGAAAAGATTTGAGAGGAAAACCAAGTTATCTAGGAATGAGAAGGAATATCATTTTTTTAATAAAAACTTTCCTCTTTTTTAAAATATCATCCGTTATCATTGCCACTTTATTTTGTAGCTTGACTATGTTGGTATTCTTTTTATGACTTTATTCAAAATTTTCAGTCTTTTCCTAAGTCCATATTCTCTATTCTTTCTTTTATTCCTAAAGTGTAAAGCATGTGCCTATGCGTAGGATTGAACATAGGATTAGGAACCCAACTTCTTTGGTAGAAATATCTAAATATTTCATAAATGTAAAGTGCTCCATTACAATTACCAAGGATCACTTCATACTTTAACATTACTAAAGCTCACCTTCCCCCCCCAACACCCCTCTTCTCTCTCTGCTATATGTCTCTTTCTTTCTCTCTCAGATTGCAAAACATACAAATCAATTAGATTTCATATATTTACCTAGAAAATATAATATGTTAATTTGGATCTCAAAAGAGCTCTGATAGGAGGGCCATGCTTTTTTCCCCCACCCCCTCCTTTTGTTGCTTTCTGTCTTTCTTGTCTCCTTGTGTTTCTTTAGCTCCTTTTACTTTTCTTTTCTTTTTCTTTTGTATTCTTTTAGCTTTCTCTTTCTCTGATTCTCTAAGCGGGTTCCTGATTCTCATTCCAGTGCTCTAGCTCTTTCAGTTTCAGAGACATATATATAATGGTAAATAAATAAATTATATATATATATATTCAGAAGGGAGATCTCAAAGTGGCTGGCCCAAGGTGAATTCCAAATCCAAAATAGGTTTCTTGGGGCTTGATCCTGATAGGCTTGACGATGAGCTTCCATCTGATATTCTCTCGTAACTTAGGCACTTTGGATCCATTTCCTTCTGAAAAACAAATGAAAATAAGAAGAAGCATAGATCAGAAAAATTCTAGTGAAATTATGAGAATATGATAAAGAAAGGAAAAAGAAGAAGAGGAAAACAGATTACAGAGAGAGCAGCATAGCATAAGAGAAGTGTGTGAACAGGTTTTGGGAATCAAAGGACATTTGACTCAGAGAATAATTAAAGAATATTTATATCGATCAAGGAAAAAGAAACTTCAAATTAATGGGGGTACACCTAAAAGCCTGCTAAGTGCTTGAACTTGCATGTTCATTTGCTAGATTCCAATTATTTTTATGTATATATTGCATTAACATTATATATATATATATATATATATCCGAGCTATAATTTCAGGGTCTAGACCATTTGGATCATTGAGTCAAATGGAGTAGGTTTAGGGTTCTATGTCCTTTTCAGTATGGTCATTAAAAAATGTTAACTAGAGGGAAGTCTTTTACAGCAAAATTTGTTTTTAACCTTGCAATTAGTAAATGTGAAAAGGACTGGTCTAACCATTTGAATTTGTGAAGGACAAAGCAGCTTTATGGAAAGCCTTCTCCTTTTGTATAATGTGCATGGCAAGATGAAAAAGATCAAACGTATTTCCTTTTCCTCTCAACTCCCTTTCATGCATTCCAAACCCAGCTTGGTATTTGTGTATAAATATAACTTTTGAAACAAAACCAACCTTGGGAAATAAAGAGGTATTGAGTAATGTACATTTACATACCTCAACAGAAGGCACGTTTCCAACAGAATCAGCCTTTGGCTTGCCATGCAACCAAGCTTCCCTGTTACAACCAAACACATCGAGAGAATATTTCCCATTACCAGAAGCCATGCAGAAGAAAAGCAAACTGAGAAAAGAAAGCCATCTTTTACTGTCTTATTTATAGCCCCTTTTACTTATTCTTCTGATTGAAGTAAAGTTGAAGCCATGCTAATTGATATCCCTTTGCCCATGACTATGTGTGTGTGTGTGTGTATGTATATATATATACACATACATAGGACCATTCAAGGAAGTTTCAAAGGGCATATCGCTTTGGCACCAAAATTTCTAATTATGGGTCTACGAAGGGCTTAGCTTTGACACTAAGTTTCCCAATTGTAGGGCCCCATATAATAGCCTAATGTCTGAGCCCCACAAAATCCTAAGGAAAGAGATATCTCTATTTTTAAGGTGGATTTTGGCAAATATCAAACTCCTGTGTCTTTGAATGGTATGAGTATGCGTGGCTTCCTTTTTTACTTCCTTTTCACCCACTAGAAGAGACTATATTATTAACCCATCATTTAGTTTGGATGCTCATGGGTTGTGGACAGACAGAACAAAGCACACAGAAGTGATTTATTCTTTTTGTGATTCTTTGCGCCTAACTATGTTTGCATATTAGGTTAAGAGAGAGAAACGTGAAAGCAAAGGACTAAGAGAGAGAGAGAATGCTCATATGAATAAGACATGCATGATTTCCTCTGATTTATATTAGTATTTTTGCAACATGACCCGCTAAATATAGATTGAAATATAATTCTTGTTAAGAAAAAAAAAAGGTGAAACAAGAATGATGTTACTTACAACTTAATCACATAAAGATAAAAAAAAAAAAAAATTCCCCCTAGCTAGGCAAATAAATAAGTTGCCAACATCATTCAAAGCAACATTGTACTATATATAATAAAAAAAGGAATAAGTCATCATATATATATATATATAACTATAGCTAGAAGCATTACCTGGAAGAGTTGCTCCAAAGCCCATAATATTCCTTATCTTGATTAACACTTGATCTTCCCTGCTTAATGGGTAGATCAGACCTTCTTGAAGAGTTCATGTCAAACATTAAGTCATCAGAAGTATCTCCAGATGATCCATTATCGTATACATCCGATTGCCCTAATTCATGTTTAAATGGGAAAATGAAAAAGAAAATTAAAGAAAAGAGGAAGAGCAAGCTAGCTAACAATATTGAACTTTCTTGACTTAATCTTCCAACAATATTAGAGAGAATGAAAATAGGCCCAAACCTGAAGAAGCCGCTGCTCTATCTGTAGTTTTCACCGTCCGGTACATCTGGATTCAAATTTATGCATCATTAACATCAGATAGTATAAGTGAATATTTAAAAAATATAAAATAAACTGCTGCCAAAATCATATAATTAGTAAGATATTTATGTATTAATTAGTGCATAACGCTTCATAGTAGGAGGAGGATAAGTAGAAATCCAAGAAGTGTACCGCAAGAATAAAAAATGGCCACCAAGTTGTTTCTTCTAAGTACTAATTATTAAATTGATATGCGATACAGTACAAGTTCTCATACAGAAGCATTTATGGTTACGGTAATATATGCATATGCATGGAAGCATGTGACTAACCATGGTTAAAGCTGGCATGGTAAAGAAACCCATATCTGAGGAAGGGATCATTGAGAAATGATGGTGTTTGGTCCGTACTTTGCTTATCATTTTTCAATATTTTTGTTTTCTTCTTCTCACTGCAATTTATTATATATACAATATAATTTTCTTTAATGGCATGGCAGCTATGAACTTGTCTGTCTCGGCTTGGCTGCGACTTATTTTGAATTCATGGGGCTTTGTCTTACTTGTTTTCAGAAATCAATAAGTACCTCTCTTTCTCTCTCTCTCTCTCTTGATTTTTTTTTTCTTTAACTTGGGTGGTTCATTCTTCCAAGCAAAAAGCTGTTTATTAGGTTGCAGAAGCAGAGGCAGCAGATCTAATAGAAAAAAGAAGCGCTAAGGATTTGAGAGACCCTTTGAAAGGAAACCATTGGAATTTGAAATATAAATAGATGACTTAAGTGCTTCCTGTAATGTAATGTAGCCTATAAATTTAAACATATACATATATGCATAGTACTACTTGCAAACACCATTTAAAACCCAATCAGAACCGTACTAGTACCCTTTAAGCTGACTGAAGAAATTAACAATGAAAAAAAAAAAAAAATTAAGAATAACACAGAGTTCAAATATTATTTAAAAAAGATTGTTATTGTATATTATATAGTGAGATTAGTTATGAACTAGTGCAATTAACGAGTTTAAGATTTACCTGTAAGTGAGACTTAACATGTGCTAAAGTGAGATCCTTCACATCCATTAGCTCAAGAACTGATTTGGGCGTAGCCCCTTCATCAGGAGAAAGAAAGATTAGTTGCAATAATTAATCAAATTTATATTATTAGAATAAGAAAGGCAAATTCACTTTCTCCCATTTTTCTTGTTGAATTTCCATGTTAGAGAAAGTGAAAGCAACAACGGTGTAAGAAGAAAAGGGGGAGCAGGGAAAATTAAGGGAAAGAAGAAAAAAAAAACATTTATATTAAAAAATTAAATGGAAAAAAAGATGATGCTTACTTTCATGGCCACCCAAGAGCTCAACGGCATGAACAAAGCGAGCATGGAGAGTGGTAGTCCAACGCATCCGAGGAGCTCTCATGCTTCGTTTAGGAGGGAAGCGTGACAAGAACCTCGACCTCAACAAAGCTTGAGACTGAAAAGGGCTTGAACCTGTGGTTGTGTTGGAAATAGATGAAGGGGTGGAAGCCTCTAAGGGATGATGATGATGTTGATGTTGATGTTGATGTTGTTGTTGTTGTTGAGAGAATGGCATAGGAGGAGGGTTCTGGTATACTGGGATTCCTCTGATGGGTCTGAGAAAACCAAGTTCTTGGCTTAGGCTTTGGATTTGTGGTTGTTGTTGGTGGTGGTGGAAAAGTGGCTGGTTGTGGAAGTAATGGTTTTGCTGAAATGTTTGGAAGGGATTGGCATTACCGTTTTGGAAGTGATGAATGAGGTTGGAGGTGTTGGAATCTGAAGCCTTTGGATTAGAGAGGGAGAGGTCATGATCAAAGCAAGTATCCTTTTTGGACATTGATGATGATGATGATAAGGAGTTTCTAGAGTCCAAAGCTCTCTTCCAAAACCCCAAGTCCATGTCTTCTTCTGTAGTACTTCTCCTCCAACTTGATGTGGGTTTGCTGTTTGGAGGGCTGATTTGCAAGGATAAGTCTGGTTGTGCTGGGAATAGTTCCATCCTTGCCTATGACAAGCTTTCCCACAAACCAAACAAGTATGTGTATGTGTATGTGATCCTGTTTTTCCTTCAGTTATGTAATTTTTCCTCCTGCTAAGTTTTCTTTTGTGTTGTGCAATATATATATATATATATATATAGTACGAAATTTTCAAGGATTGGAAAACAAAAAAAATATATAAATATATATATATATATATATTGAGATGGAGGGTTGGCTCAGTGATTGCAAGATAAGGGTAATTAATTAGAGTTTCTGAAAGGGTGTGATGGGGGGGTTTCAAGCATTCAATCAATTTTGATGGAGTAGTTGCAGAGCAGAGATTTGAGGTTGAGAGGAGACGGCAAAGAGAAAGAGAAAGAAAGAGAGAGAGAGATAAAAAGAAATGACAAGGTATGTGAAGTGAATGGCTGTTTCTTTTGTGTGAAGTATATGTGAGAAAATGACACTTGAGGTACTATACTCTAGGGGTGGTGGAGAAGAGAGAGAGAGAGAAATAAAGAAAGAGAAAGAGAAAGAGAGAGAAGATTGTTTCTTTTGTGGACGTGGGGGGTAGGGTACTGAGGGTGAGAAAGGGAGAAAAAGAATGACAAAAGGAAATGGAGAATAAGATAAGGAAGGGAAAAAAAAAATGAAAAAGGTAAATAAGTTATGAACTTTTATTCCTTTTTACAAATGTACTCTTTTTTCTTCTTTTTTTCCCTCTCTCTCTGATTTCTTTCGATTAAAAAAGGAAAAGCAGAACATTTCCTATAAACCTTTAACGTGTGCATTGTCCCTCTGCAACTCATACCTAAACTTTCTATAACACACGCACACAGAACCCCCCTTTCACTGGACTGAAACCTAGGGCTCTGGTCTTTGCCACACAAAAAAAATAAAAAACAATTTCTGGAATTTACAGTCACGTGATTCCACACAAATTTCAACATCTTTGGGATTTGTTTTGTTTTGTTAACAGCCCAATTATAAACCACTCATTGAGATAATAATGAAACCCTAATTCTCTGCAAATCACATCATGCATTCTTCTTAGCTTAAATTTGGACCCATCCATCATGTTCTTGTCATTTTCTTTTTATAATCAACCAAGAAATTCAGAGGTATATTTGTGGGTCGTTACAGATATGTGTGGTATTGAAAGTCAGATTTAACCTATGTTATTTGTGTAAGGGATTAAAGAGGAGTGTCTATAAATGGGTAAACTTGTCTTTCAACATTTATGGTCCTCAAGTCATCAAATAGATATCGGAACGTACAAGCTATAGTGAATGCTCATATATTCCATTCACCCTCGGAAACACATACCGAAAGGAACCAAAACAAAAATAAATAAATAAATAAAAGTTTTATGTTGGCTACAAGATAAAAAAAAGGAAATTATTATAAAATTTGAATCAGGTAAAAACTGAGAGTGAGATTAATTAAATTCATTGGGTAATTAATTATTTCGGGTCATTCAAATAATTTGAACAAATAAATGCAAGTCTTGTTAACTTAAATATTGATAGCAAATCACTGAAAGAAGGAAAATTACAGATAGATGGAACATTAACGGAATAGGAAAAATTCACCGGTGGGTCGTGAGACTCTCTATCAAAAATTAAATTTTATGGTTACGGGTTTGAGAAATCAAATGGACGGTCCTAATAACAATCTATATAAAAAAAGATGGTCCTATAATACACTCTATAGATAATCGACGTATGAATAATCTCTGTCTAAAAATCAATGTGTGTCACTGTCAAATTAACACAACATCTAATGTGTGCGTGTATCTTGATCATATTAAACTGAAATGAATTACTAGTAAATAAATAGCAAAATCAACTAGTCAAAGTGACCAATCACTCTTAATTGCAATTAAGTTTAGTAATCATTTTATATTTGCCTCGTAAAAGAAAGTATTAGGCTTCGCCAGATATAGATAAGTTAGCCTTAGGTAGCTATTAAAATTAGTACGGATGTTGTAACGTAAAATGTATGAATTTTTAAGTGCCAATTCCTTTGATTAAAACAGGAGTAATGTTATATACTAAAATATTTTCCAATCACTAACTTCTCCCTGTCTTTCTCATTCTCTTTCTCTCCTACTTTTTTTTCCCCATAACCAATTGTTTCCATGCCTTTTTAAAGGATTTTGTGAACATAAACTTCAATCCAAACGACATTTACGTTAAAACATTACTTCACGACGCTTGACCCAAGTAAAATGTCAAAAAGGCACATTCAGCTTTAGGTTGATTCTTGTTTAGCAATATTATTCCTAGACTTGAATTTGCCTACTTGTATTTTAGGTATACATTTTATGAAAATTATTAGAGAAATATATATAATAGAAAACCATTAACGTGACCTTTACCTAACAGCATAAGAATTTTGGTTGAATTTATTTTTTACATGCTATTAGAGTCCGGTGGCTAAGCGATCACGATATTGATACTCATCGTCCCTCATTTTTTTAAAAATAATTAAAATATAGTGGACCTTCTTAGCACAGATAAATGAGTCTTGATACATTGTCCACCGTTCAAGTTTCTTATATGAAGAGATGTATTGAAAAAATATAATATAAAACTCTTATCGTGACTTTCATCAAACCATTTAAGCTTTTGGGCTTAATTAACACCCAACTGGTTCTAATGTTTTTTTGTTATTGCTACGTTATTTCAAACCCATCATGCGGATATTATATTACACGAGTAATTCTAGTTTGCCCCGAAAGCTTTGCACGAATACCATCTCTGTGAATCTTCGGTTGGATTTGTCCGTAGGAAAGAAGGGGTTTGTAAAATTAACAATTTTTCATATTATAAATAAAAGTCAGAAATCTCAATGCAGATTAGAGAAACAATGACGAATAAGGTGCTTGAAGGAGATTATTACAAGATCGGAGGAGGTGATGATGAGCTAGTACTGTGCATCTAAACCTTAGAAGCACAAGAGGTACATCGAAAAGCTATCACCTAAAAGGGTACAGAGAAATGATGCAGTCTCATATTGTGGGCTTGTTAATTTAGAGTTTTTTTTTTTTTTTTAAATATATACATTTAATTTATATTTTTTATTGAGATACCTGTCAGTCATCCATTTACAGACTGCAGAAAATAGAGACTGGAGGTGATTCAAAACCTTAAAAAAATATATATATATACTTAGATTTTACATTTGTATTCTTTTTTTTTTGGTAAACTAAATTTGTATTCTTTAATATCCTACAATGGAGAATCTTAGCTATAATGCAAATCAAACAAGCATGACAATAAAATATGGCTTCAATGTCTTAAAATCATTCATATTTCTTGGTCTTGGTGATTTTTATTGGCAGTGGAAAAATAATGAGCACTAATACTAATTTAGCAATGAAAGAATGCTTAATTTTAATTTTATGGAAATGAGATTCCTCAACTTTGGATCTATCAACTGGCGATGTGTTGGGTCTTTCGTTAATTAAGAAGCAATGTAATCGTTAAGGTCAATAAAGAAAGAAATTTAATAAAATTATTAAGATGGGTTGTTTGCTTGTTTGATCGTTTGATTTTGATTGAGGGACGACCCTATAGCAGTTCCTATATATAGGCTTGACTACTTTTTGTTGGGTAAATAATTGGTAAATGATGTTCTGGTCTGCTACTACTATGTCCTAATTGCTTGAATGACAAACATGCTTTCCAAAATAAGTGAAAGTTAAACTCACTTTTTGACCCAAAATTTAATACAAGTAACGCTTATTATATAATTAATCGGTCATCTTTCTTGCAAATCATTTTCATTTGAGTAAAGAGCCTAAAAATTTAGTTACAGAATAAAAGGTAACGTTCAAGTTCAAGTTCAACCAATCCTGTATGAGACTTAATGACAGCATACTTTGGGAAAACAACAGAGAATTTGGTAAACTCAACAACCACATAATCATAAGAAAGAGGTAGAGATATATAGATCTGAAAGATTTAAGTAAACTTTCTTTTCATTCTTTAAAAAAACAAAAAAAACAATGCAAGTAGAAGGGGTATTTATTCTAAGAATTTATCCTAAAAATCGAAAGAGCTATTATTCTTGGACAAAAGTGATGAAACGGTGGCACGAGGAAGTAGATTAAGTTATATATAGCTTGTGAGGAAACAAAGTTCAATTTTCTACTTTTATTTTCGATTTTCATGAAAAAAGTAGAATCACTTGGACTGTGTTGGGCAAATAGAAAGATGATGGCATGATGCAAAGCTTTAATAATGCCTTTAAGACCTGCCTACGACGAGGAGCATTGGTATGCGTTACCCTTTGCTACGTCACTTTGCTTTTGATGTCCCTTCCTTGAGTCATTTACTCATGACCCAACTAATATCCATACATAACCTTCTTTTTGGATAAAGCCTCGATAGGCCCCCGCTTGGCTTTCACATTTTTTTTTAAAAAGTTATTTCTAAAAATGTATACTTACATAGAATAAATATTTAAATTGATCATCTAAATATTTTGAATATATATATATATATAACATGATATAATTACATATTGTATAGATTAACTTCCTAATTTGTTCTTGAAAAATTTAAACATTAATGAGTTCTTGAAAAAAAAAATGGAGCACTAAATTGATTCTTTAAATAATAATATTTGATTGTTGCATTTGATTACTATAAACAGTAATTTTTTAATTATTTTGATGTCGAAAAACAATCAAAACAAGGTTTATTTTATTTTATAAATAGTTTAAATTTTTTAGTAATTGAGCAAATAAAATAAAAACTTATTGAGTTTATAAACTTCAGTCAATAAAGTCAGTAATTTAAGATAAATTTATTTTAAAATTGTATATCTAAATTGTACCTTTAAAGTATTATTATTATTATTTTATTAGTTGCACATATTAACACATTAAACCATCCAAACAATTTTTTTTAATATCTTCCGTTGCGGGTCCCCCCTGCTCTCGATTAACGAACTTAATCCTGAAAAATTGTATCCGGGTACAACCTTTAACACCTTTTTTCTCTGTTTTTCTGTGCTATATTAGTAATAATGTTGCTAATATTTTTGGTTAAGTTCAGAACCTATTTCAATGGCAATTTTACAGTCAAAAGCATCATTCATATCTTT